ATATGCACTATTTGGATCCTTTTCAATCAGGTTTCAGGCTCCACCATAAGATTCAAACTGCCCTGGTTGTACTGGTCAATGATCTCCTGCAGGCTAGGGATAGAAATGAAAGCTATTTTCTGGTTCTTCTGGATCTCTCAGTGGCTTTTGATACTATCAACCATGGTAGCCTTCTGGACCGTCAACATGCAGATTAAAGCAAGTCAGAAATACACTTGAAAAAACATTGTATAAGCTCTGAAGCTATTGGATTGAATAAGCCTATTCCTGTTCATCCACAACTATACATTGTACCTGACAAGCATGTGTTGAAGATGCGAGCATTCCTTTTGACAGAGCAGCAATACATAATAGATTTGTAGTTTATCATACTTAGTTTCCTGTTGTGGTAAAGGGCTGGTATGATGACTAAATCATTGTAATAAATTTTACTCATTCAGTTTGGCAATTATCACATATGTACTGGAACGTGAGCATTTTCTGAGTGGCATAATGGCAGTGGCAACAGTTAAATTTTCAGTGAACCATGGTAAGAGGTTAGGAGGCTTCCTGACGGTTCATAATAAAGTTTCCTCACTTCCTTTTCCTTACCTTGTCCCCCCCGCCAAAAATACATAAAAATCCTATGTACCTTTAGGTTGTATAGTACTCCTATCATCTTTATAAGATATGACTCCACTTGTCAGTTCTTGATTGAATTGCTTGTTCTCTTTACCCTCTCTTACAAAAAAGAACAGTATCTTCAGCTTTGCAAGTCACAAATTTTATTTCGTGTAAGACTTTTGCAGTAAGTACACTTCTCCCATCACTTCCCCCACAAGAGGAAAGTTTTCTGCTTTGTGACATCTGTGTTCCTGACCTTGTTTAATGTTTCATATCACTGGCTAGTGGCGTTCATGCAGTCACACTCCGTCCTGAAGCCAAGCAGAGAGAGGGAGGGCCAAATGGTCTAAAGTTGTCTCATACTCAAGGCTCAAAAAATCCTGGAGGTGAGCCTAAAAATAGACTTAATCAGGCTGACAGAGAAGACTATTGTTGTAGCTCCACTCTGTGTGTTGTTTTTGAACTGCTGCTGTGTTTTCCATCTGCAGCCGTGAAATTGGGATGATTATATATTCAAATGAAAACAGAACCTCCTTGGATTATTCAAGGTTATATGGGAACCAGATACTACCCTCCAGTCATTCAACTGACCCATGACCACATAACAACATTTTCAACTCATCTTTTATTTCTTCAGCATTAGTCTGTCTTCAGTATTCCCTCTCAGCATATTTGTGTTCTTTCATCTGCCTTATAATTATATATCGTGGATAGCATATTATGCAATTTAAAGGTAAAGGGACCCCTGACCATTAGGTCTAGTCGCGGACGACTCTGGGGTTGCAGCGCTCATCTTGCTTTATTGGCCGAGGGAGCCAGTGTACAGCTTCCGGGTCATGTGGCCAGCATGACTAAGCCACTTCTGACGAACCAGAGCAGGGCACGGAAACACCGTTTACCTTCCTGCCGGAGTGGTACCTATTTATCTACTTGCACTTTGAGGTGCTTTCGAACTGCTAGGTTGGCAGGAGCAGGGACCGAGCAACGGGACCGAGCAACAGGAGCTCACCCCGTCGTGGGGATTCGAACTGCAACCTTCTGATTGGCAAGCCCTAGGCTTAGTGGTTTAGACCACAGCGCCACCCGTGTCCCTCTGTTATGTGACTTATGACAGTTTATAGTATATCCCTTCATTTTCTCCTCCCTGTAAATAGAACTGAACAACACAGCCAGGGATTTCCCTATCATACAGGGCCAGGGAGATCTAGTGAGAAAAATGTAGGAGGCTGTTTCTGAGGGTGTGTTGTTAGGGAAATGCTTTGAAATCTTAAGGTGAACATTTGACCTCTTTACAATGCAGTCTTAAACATGTTTGTTTAAAAATAAATCAAGTTCCTAGTAACTTACTTCATAGTTATGAGTGACATTTATTGGGTGACTAAGAGATTAAATGAAATAATAAAAATAGTGAGTTTAAGATTGCAGCACAAGTATCCTAGGAGATCAAATGTTTGTCGTCTTCAGCTTTTTTTTTTTATTAAACAATGAATGCTGAGCTACTTAGCGACACTTCAGAAGTATCAGTGCTTATTAAATACAGCTAAAAGTGTCATGGTAGTCATAACTCTGGTTATGAACAATATGTCTGAGGGAAGAGAGTCAGATAGAAAGAAATCTCAAGAGTAGTTCAGTTTTTTGAAGCAGGCTTTGCATTGTTAGTGACATATCTGTTCAGAAGTATGTCTCATTGACTTCAATGGGGCTTAGTCTGAGGTGAGTAAACTACATTGGAAGGTGTATACAGCTGTAGGCATGCTTAGAAAATATAGCCTGTTTTGTTCAAATATATTTGTCCTTGTTGTAGTACATAACAGTTGGATTTTCTGAAGGTTTGCTCTAACCTTGAGGCAAGGTTGTACCTACTGGACAAAACATCTTCTGGTCCTTTTTAGAGGCTTGGCAGATAGTACAGTGGTACCTCGCAAGACGAATGCCTCGCAAGACAAAAAACTCGCTAGACAAAAGGGTTTTTTGTTTTTTGAGCTGCTTTGCAAGACGATTTTCCCTATGGGCTTGCTTCGCAAGACGGAAACGTCTTGCAAGTTTGTTTCCTTTTTCTTACACTGTTAATACAGTTGCGACTTGACTTCGAGGAGCAACTCATAGAACGCGGTGTGGTAGCCTTTTTTGAGGTTTTTAAAGACTTTGGTGATTTTTGAAGCTTTTCCAAAACTTTCCCGACACCGTGCTTCGCAAGACAAAAAAAATCACAAGACGACAAAACTCGCAGAACGAATTAATTTCGTCTTGCGAGGCACCACTGTAATTGTTTCACTGAGTGTTGGATTCATTACACACTTGCAACTGTATCTATGAATAGAGTATAAGTAGGCAGAATATTTGGCAAAACCAGGTTTAGCCACCAAGAAGAGGCTTAAAATGTGGTTGCCTTTAAATGAAAAAATAGCTGAAACTTTTATGGGAAAGAAGAGGCTTCTTGAAATAATGTTAGAGCTGTGTTTTGTGTAATTTTCAGAAAAGTACGACTTTGATGTCCATGCAAAAGTCATCTGTTCTTGAAAGCATATTTCCTTTAGAAATGTATTTTATTTATCATTTACATTTATATCCTGCCTCCCTGAGGAAAGCAGACATGCAGGGATGATTATGAACTTCATGTGAGTTAGATTAGGCCGAAACATAGTAAGTGGCTCAAGGTCTGTATGGGGCTTTGACCAGTTCTCTCTACTCTGAAGTGCAACACTCTCACCGCAACAACATGATGAAACAAACAGCATTGTGGTCAAGTTTGATCAGTGCTCTGAAACAAGTGGCACCTGCAACAGATATTGTGTATCCTCACTCCACTTGAGCAGCTGCTGGCAAGTTATGCCGACCTCCCAGAATAATATAAACTGTAAACCAGGCATAGGTGAACTCGGTCCTCCAGATGTTTTGGGACTACAACTCCCATCATCCCTGACCACTGGTCCTGTTAGCTAGGGATGATGGGAGTTGTAGTCCCAAAACTTCTGGAGGGCCGAGTTTGCCTATGCCTGCTGTAAACCAAGCAGAGCACCACACTCTCCCCAGCATACTGATCTGCTTGTTTCTCAGTGCTCTGTTTGGTTCCCTTTCTGTTGGTGCTCGCCACTTGAGTCCACTAGTGGAGGAAGTGATGACAGTTCAGTGTGGCTGAAAAGACAAAAGCGAGGTAAATAAAAACAATCAAACATCAAAAGTCTGAAATGGGAGGAAAGGGTATTTGAAGAGAATATTTAAATCTATAGCAAAACCAGGAAAATAATATTGGGGCAAAGAATTATACTGCAAATCATGTAACTTCTTCTGAAAGTCAGTAGCCACTTTATAAAATGAAGCTAAGCTGTGGTTGTTTTTCTCTTTGAGGCTGTTCAAGCATAAAGCTAGATCACAGTTTAATATTATAACTACAGGCCTCACCTCAGGCTCTTGCACCCCGTCCTCTCGTTATGTGTAGTGATCAATTTCTCCCATTTTCCAGGCTAGTGGCAAGCTATACTTTGCCCACAAACAAGAATCATGCATGACAGTGTGCATAGGTAAACTATGGTTTATGCAAATCATGTTTTATTTTGCGTGTGTGTGTGTAAGAGCTTAAGGTTTGTGGTTGAAATGCCATGGTTATGTCTGAATAGCTTCTTAACATTTCCGGTGACATCCTGAGTGCAACCTGATTTTTTGGTTTTTATTCTAATAAAATCTACTACAGCTGAAAGTTTGGAGCCTCTCTGCCTAATATTTGACACCCAGGCATGGTCCTTATTTAAGCATACAGACAGGAACAGGAACTGATCAAATGAGTTGGCCACGTAGTGGAAACTACGTACAGGGCCTCACAGAAATCTAGTATCCTGCGAATGGAGCAGTCGTTGATACGTTATGTAGATTCCGATTTGGTATTTTCACATGCAGGCCTATTGTTTTGGTTCCTTTTCTGTCAGCAATGTAAGTCTGCAACTGATGCTAAAAGAAATCCTGCGAGTAGTCAGGCACATAGACTACATGTAGGGCACAAAGCAGATTCTGAGAGAAAAGTAGCTTTATTTGTCAGACAGTCCTAAGCAGTATCTGGGAGCACCGGGGCAGAACAGTGGATCAGCCATCACATCTAAAGCCCTGCTGGCTCCTATTGTCCAGGGCCGAAAGTGGGGGTGCTTGTATTGTTTTTTCCCCTTGTCCCACCTCCAGGAAATGCTTTAGGATCCAGAAGACCCAGAGCTGGCCTTACCTTGCCTCTGGATTGCCCTGTTCTGGAGTACGACACTGGCTACCGCTGGCGGAAACACTTCTGGCAGTAGTCTTGGATCCACATGCTTTCTTGGAGACTTTAAGTGTGGTGAGGGTGTGCGGGTGTTGTTTCTGATTATACTGTGAATGATCTCATTTTAATGTAGACTTTCCTCTTTCCTGTTTAGATTGGGGCATATGACCAGCAAATATGGGAAAAATCTGTAGAACAAAGAGAAATCAAGGTAAAGTTTAGATTTATTTTTATTGTTTCATGGTACTGAATGTCAAACTTAACAAACTCACTCCAAATCATTTAATTTGCTGCACAACTCCTGTGCAGAGGATTCTGGGGTTCTTGTCCTATGACAGCTATGTGTTCTCAAGAATATGTCCAATGTCCCCCTCAAATGTGTATTGTAGGGGAAAGTCATTAAGCAGCAGGGAAGTTTTTGAGAAGCTTGTCCTCTGTTATTTATATTGTCATTGAGAAAGCACGATAAAGCACATAGTTTTCACGTATATAGTTAGAAAATCAGGGATATATTGTAATTCAGAATTTATTTTGATAAGACTTTATTGTGACACAGGTCTGTGCTGTTTTTCCCCCCCAGGACAAAGGATGTTCCATTTGTGAATTATTTTAATAGCATTTGTGAATTCTTTTGTTATCATGTAGTGATAGTATGGTAATCCTTACCAATCTGCAGTTTTTTTGTGGTGGGTGGGTTAAACTTTAAAGAAGTTCTACTGAAATGAAAAAAAAACTGGTACAAGAGTTAGGGTGGGAGAGGACATTTTGTGGGTGTAGGAAGTCTTTAGATTATGGAATCTTGGCTAGGGTTTGTCTCTCACTTGCATCAAAACTGTATGCTGTTTGGTGTGGATGTGAGTTTTTATGTGGAGGAGCCTCCTTCAAGGAAACAGCTAGGATAGATCTTTTACTTGGGGAACTCCCAGTTACAGTGCTTAAAAATAATATTGGGGTGTTTTTAGTTATGTTGCACTAAGCTGCCTTATGCTATATCATAGATAATTCCCTTCATATTTTACATGCTTTTTGGTCAGATATCACTGACTATCACATGGTTACCTTTATAGTTCCAGTTTACTTTTCCTCATTTTTCATCCTGTCATTGTTTTGAACAGTTTATTAAATTGGTAAGTACTTGATTATGGAAATTTGTGTTAAACAAAACAGCTTTTGTAGATTAACTGTGTCTCTGCATCTTAGTGTGACTAACAAAAGCCTTCAAGTATCTGATGAATAAGTAACTACTTCAAAAGCATCTAAATGCTTTAGCATCACTTCTGTTTTCCATTTAAAACAATTAGGCTGTGATCCTACACTTTAGCCTGGAATTAAGTCCCATTAAGCTCAGTGGGACTTGTTTCTGAATTCATAGGGCTACGTTGTTTGGTTCATTTAAGGATTCACCCACTCTTCTAAAGAGACAAGAAACTGTAATGCTGGGATTATAATAAACCCCTGCTTCCTTTGATATGATATTATACCTTCTGGCCATCTATTGTGGTTCCATATTTTCGTATATCATTACCATCCGAAACAGCACCTTTTCATTTTCCAGAAATGAAATGGAAAACAACCATTAGATTCCAGCTCTGAATGTGCTGCACTTGAAAAAGGTTAAAATCAAGCTTCTGTTGGCTTGAGTGCTATGAGCTAACTATTTGGAATCCAGTGGTTTGTTCCACGAAACTCTGTCCTTTCAAACAGACAGTAATAGATAACTTTGTAACACGCTTCTCGCCTTGAAACTGTTGTCTCAGTGCAAGTAACCAGGTGGAAAATGCACTTGCCTGGTGGTTCCTCCTCCTGCTGCCAACCTGCATGCATTTCATTCAGTTGTGAGGCTGGCCGCGTTTCATCAGCTGGGAAAACACAGCTGAGCGATAGGGTTGTTGTGTATGCTACCTGTGTTATCTCCTCTGTCAGGAAGAGAGATGGAGGAGTGAGATAAGACTGACAGAGTGCTGTGCCTGCTGCATGTACACCCGTTCTTTTTCCTGACAGAAGAACGAACACACAGTAGTAGTGCTGGGAGGGGATATTGAAGCAGGGGGCAATGAGCAAGTACTTTCATTGTTTACAGGGGCAGTATGACTCACTAACAAAGTACTGTATTGAAACATAAAAACACACCAGATTTTCTCAGAATAGGCCAGTTGATGCCATTGAGATTTCTACTGATGTGCTCTTAGATCTCATTGGAGATCTCGTAAGAACAAGCCAAGGTCCATCTGGTCAAGCACTCTGCCTCCGTCATTGGCTTACCAGATGCCCTTAGGAAGATTACAAACTGCCTGAACTTGAAGGCTTAATTTTTAGTTTTTATGCCTATATATATATCTGCTGATGTCGATGGCAACATTTTCTGGCAATGAATTCTGTAAGTTTTATCCAATGCATAGAATACAGCTACTTTTGTTTGTCCTAAATACATCATTTTAAACTCTTATAACATTGGACAGAGGATGAATAATTTTATACAGGCAATACAAATAATTTTATAAATGTATATAGCAGTGGTTCTCATACTTTTTTCTCTGGGCTGCACTTTCAGAATAAAAATTTGTTCACACCACACCATTTTTAAAAATTGATAAGTAATGCATTGGAAAATAAAAAGAAACAACTTAGCCTAGCAGTGCTATTTTATAATATGATCATGGGATATCCAGAAAGTATAAAACAATACAGCTACATAGGAACATGTATCATTCTCAAAATATAATATTGACTGTCCTTGAATCTTCCTGGCACACTTGCCATCTTCTCCTGCTACACCTTGTGAGAACCAGTGGTATAAAGTGTTCTGCTCGATAATCCTTTTCCAAATTTAAACTTTTGTTTTCCTTTACAGAGGAAACACTTCAATCCTCTTATCATTTCAGTTGCTCATTTGTTTAAGCCGGAATGTAGCTTACAGAATAACACCTGAAAGTATAGTAAAAACATTAGAGTGAGTTTAAAACAGATAAGCATTAAAAGAGAACAATTGAATGGACCTATAGAATAAGTACAGTGAAGCAGCAATAAAGTTGTCTGTACCTTCTCATTTTTACATGAGGCAGCTAGAACTATGTACAAAATTCTACATTTGTGCACGTTGTCAGTTTATAAAATGAGATTATTGGCTGTTTTATTTTATTCTTTATTATGATTTGTATACTGCCTAATTAAAAATGTTCTTTGGACACAAGTCTCTAATCACATCAGTTATTTGTTTTCTCTTTCTATCCCTTTCCTAACCATTCTCAACACTAACTTCTTTTACTGCAGTAGCACTAACAGATTTAGTGAATTTTCCACTATGGCCCCAGGATGTTTCTGGGGTTGTTGATAGTCAGTTCAGACTGCATCAGCACATATGTGAAATTAGGCTTTAATTCCCATGCACATAATTCTGTTCTTTGCTTTTGTTGGATCTCATATGTGGTCCATTCACCCAGTTTGGAAATATCCTTTTGAAGCTTGTGGTAATCTGGGATTTTACAATTTTTAATAGTGGTCATCTGCAAACTTGGCTACCCTGTTGCTCTTCTTTTGAGTTGTGCCATATTTGGGTGACTAGGAAACTCTTCTAAAGGTTTCTCAGCAGCTGAAACTGGGAATGATTTAAAGTATTAAATCCCATGGATTCATAATGAGTTCATCACTCGCAGTATGGGATCAAGTTTTCCTTTGGGCAAAAAGAAGGGCAAGATTCTCACCTTTTATCCAGATTCAGATTTGACGTAACATTAAGCTCAACCAAAGCTGAGTTCTGAGTGGTACAACAGCAGCAGGACTGTGAGAGAAGCTGGCCACCATCCAAGAACCTGCATGTTTGCTTGTTCACACTAAACCATTGTTTGGTTTTGAGTTACCTGAAAACTGTGCTGTTATTTGAATAACACAACAACTATTACAGAATTTCCATAGGTAAAGCACAGCAACTAGAAAGGCCCACAGTATGCCTCTGCTGCCAGATGCCAAATAAATAAGTTTACTTCTATTCTCTGCTTCCTATGTGTTACTCAGCTTCTGGTTGATGAAATGACCTACCCTCCTGGATTATGACTGCTATGTTTGCAAAATGCAACCCTCATAGATGGCTTGTTATACATTCTGTGTCCTCTTACCACTACAGTATTTAACATATATATTTTTGTTCTGCCATAAAATAATGTCTCATGAGTTTGTATGCTTCAGCTTCATTAAGATTTTCTGCAGTTTCCCTGTCTCCTTTAGTACTCCATTTATTTATTTTGGTCTAATGTCTCCATTGTACAGCTTGTTTGCTACCCTGCTACCAGTGTTATTCATTTTTACATCGCTATGAAGTTGCTCATAAAGTTCCTTCTTGGCTTTCTTATTGTCAACTTATGTTTGGTTTGCCAGACTTCTTGCTTGGGTGTGTGCGTGTGTGTGTGTGTTCATGTTTTAATAGTTTTACAAGAAGTAATCTTGTCTTTTATAGTCTCATTTAGTCTGAAGTTTAACAGATAATTGTTTGAACTTGCCTTATCTAATAAGTGGTGTATGTTTAACTTGAAGCCCTGTTATCATTGTAAACAACTTCCAAGTGTCTGTAACTACCTTCTCAATTTCCTTTTAACTGGAGCTCTACATTCTCTTGGCAGATCTATAATCTATTGTGGTTGCAGCAGTGAAGCTTTTGACATTGATTAGTTGAGCTGATCTGATAGCCTGGAATGCTGTAAGATCCAGACTGTTCAGGGAACAATGTTGTCAGTGTTTGCACGCCCAGCTCTGTGAGGGAAAAGAAAGTTTTAATTTTGTTTAGTGAACCATTTCTATCCTGCTTTTCAACTACATAAAGGGGTCGATAGAATAGAAGTTCAAACAAAATGCAGAGTTACACAGGATTAAAATGCCCAAGCAAACACAAATCTAAAAGGTAAAAATTCCACCTGGTACAAAAAGCACATCAAAGTTGGTGCTAAGTGACCATCTCTGGGAAGTGGGTGTTGTCCAGTTTGGCTAGTCTTAAATTTCTTAGAGGTATTTGTAGCAGTGTTAGAAACTGAGATATGAAAGCTAGGAGCTAAATGGCACCTTAAACCTAGGTTATGGGCACAACAATGGAATGTCTAGGTGTGCTTTTTTATAACAAGAATACAAAGCTGAAAATTAATGAACTGCAGCAAAAATATTTTCATTTTTCACATGGTCTAGTCCTTCCCCTGCCCACCCCCCTAATATTCTTAAGAGCAGGGGTAGGCAACCTAAGGCCTGTGGGCCAGATGCGGCCCAATTGCCTTCTCAATCCAGCCCATGGACGGCCTAGGAATCAGCGTGTTTTTGCATGAGTAGAATGTGTCCTTTTATTTAAAATGCATCTCTGGGTTATTTGTGGGGCATAGGAATTTGTTCATCGCCCCCCCCATATAGTCCGGCCCACCACATGGTCTGAGGGACGGTGGACCGGCCCACAGCTGAAAAAGGTTGCTGACCACTGCTTAAGAGGGTCTCTTATCCAGTATTCTTCACTATTCCAGTCTTCAGAGAGTAGCTGGAAGTGGGGAGGCAGAGAAAGGTCCTCCATTCCTTCCACTCTGCAGTTTTAATCTGAAATCTTAGACACAGTACTGCGCCCAGAGCTCAGAAACTGCTCCCACTAATGAAATTCCCTGTCGTAAAATGTGCCTAGAACAATTGGAGTTTAGAACACTGATTTGTAGCTTTGTGGGGCAGACTGAACACATCCCAGGAAATCAGAAAGCTACAAGACCTGGAGACTAAAGATGGAAAAACAGGGAAGGAGTGGTGAATAAATATTTGATAAACAAGCAGAGGAGACAGAGACTGAGATGGTGCTCTGAAGAAAACCCAGTCTTCCAGTCAGGAAAATCTATATAGTGTCCTCTCCATGTCCCATAGTGCAGTGCCAGGGCACTATCTAAGAGACAGATGAAAGGAAACAAGACAAAGTAGGTGTTAATGTAAAACACAATGTGAAGAAACAAAGGAAGACATGAGGCTACAGTAAGAAATAGCTGAGGATTATGTAAGGACTGCAGCAAAACTTCATATTAGACCAGTGCTGGAGGGGAATGGATAAGCTTGGGATTGTGGACCATGGGTATAGGTTTGATAGCTCTTCTAGAACCCGACAGGCAAATCCTACTGGTTGTGGCTTCTACTATCACTAGAGTATTGTGATTTGGCAATCCTATGATTCACATACTGATTTTAAAATACTTGCCAATTCTTTGGCTGCAGGCCTCCACTATGAATATTGTGAACTTAGCTGTCCATTTTAGATGCATCTGTATGTTGGAATTTGGTCGTATTGTGGCTACTGAGCCACATCGTTCAGGGATCTATCTATCTATCTATCTATCTATCTATCTATCTATCTATCTATCTGGCATCTATCATGTATTTAAGCTAATTAATTAATATTTAGCATTTAAGCTAAATTCCAGTGTGTGTTTTCCGTAAGAGGAAAATGCATATGATACTCAACAGCTTCTAGCAGAGTATGAACAGGATTAAAATAAGTGGTCTCTCCTGTTGCATGTGATTCAGGGTGCAGCTGAAGGTTACGAGATGGACAAAGTGATATTCAGAGCCCTGTATCTAGCACCAGCTCTGGAGAATGTCAGTGTAGGACAGAACCTGTCAGTAAAGAGGATGTTGAAAGGCTGCTACTGAAAAGGTTGTCCATGTGTGCTATAAGCAATTGTAGAGTTTGAGATAGGCCAGGGGAGCTACTGAGTAGTTCAGAAGGGTCAGTGTGATCTTATACCAGGTTTTGCTATACTTTTGAGGACTAGCAGATAGGTTGACAGAAATGCAAACAGGAATCTCTCTAAAGCAGAATGAATAGTAGCTAGATAAGTTTTGTCCTCAGTATCTTGGACGTTCTGATATTTTTCTCCAAAGTGACAAGCTAATTTAGAAACTTGTTTTAGATCCTTACTTTAGAAACAAATACTTAATACTGTGGTGTGTTCTGATTATTATTTTTAGTTTTCTCTTAGCCTGTAAATTTACACAAGTTTTAGCTTGGAAGCTTCATGATGTACGTTTTGTCTCTCAGAAAGACAAACTTCAAACACTTAGGAAGAGGGCTGTAATAAGTTTACATCTATTCTTGTACCACAATTTGAATTTCAAAGTCTAGTGGATATGTTTCTTTGAAAATTAAAGGCAAAATGAAATAGATGTCAAAGTAAGTATTTACTAACTCTGGCAAGCATGTGTGTGTTCGTATGTGGCTGCATAATTGAACTTAATTAACTCCTTTAGGTGTTCTGGGAAATATAATAAAAAGGACAGTAATTTTCATTATACCTTTGTATTTGCATCAGCAATATACTTGTATTTTTAAAGCAAAAATTATTTTTCATTAGTAGAGATACATGGCAAATTGGAATCTTTCTTAAAAGTAGATTTCAAATAGGAAATAGTGCACAGCTCAGGAGATGAAAACCTGATAACTTTAAGTTCACCACAGTTACTGGCCCCTGCTTATATGAAAAGTATTTTTCCTTTAATTGTAATAATAATAATCCAATATTATTTGCATATTACAGGGTTTGAGAAACAAGCCAAAGAAAACGGGGCATGTAAAGCCAGATCTCATAGATGTTGATCTTGTAAGAGGTAGGAATGGATCTCTTAAATATGGAATGCAGTATTGATTAATATGTCAATTTATTTATTTATTTTATTGTTTTACATGGTAGAGTGCATTTGGGGACATCTTTTTTTAAAGGGGAATACATATGGTGTTTGTGTATTTCCTAGCCTGGTTATACCCCCATCAGTGTGCAGCTTATTGCAGGTTGGGCAGTTGCAATGTAACAACTCTGTGGACAGATTGATGTGTAATTGATTAAAAGAAACCAGAATGCTGCTCAAATGTGCGTTCTCAGATTTATTTATTTTTAGATCAAGGGTAGGCTGGATTTGCAAGGTGAACTTGGAAGTAATAGCCTGCAGTTAAATTTTGCTGCAGTTCTGAACTTGCTTGTGCACAACATGCCGTGTTAGATACATTCACTTCCAAGTAGTTTCCCTCTTCAGAGCAGTGAAATTCAGGTTGCAGGAAGTAACTCCAATAAAGGTAGCGAAATTTCACATAGCTGTTGTATAACGCACTTTCATGACTTGACATCACCTGTCAAGATGAGGTTAGAGGGAGTCTCCCTCATCATAACTCCCTATCTGTAGGGATATCTGTAACTCCCTCATCATAAGACATTTAATAATTGTGATTTCAGGAGCACTGAATGCCTCTAGCACCTGATTGTGACTAATCTCAAAAGGTGCCACCCAAGTGCTAGTTTCCTATCATTTCCCCCTGCTGCAAATCAAAAGAAACCAATGGCATACATTGGGGGAGCCAATGTGGTGCCTTCTAAATGCTGTGGGACTACAACTCCCATTGGCCTCAGCCAGTGCAGCCAATTACAAAGGATGCTGGGAGCTGTAGTTCAACAACCACTGGAGAGCACCGCATTGGCTACCCCTGGCATACTTGACCCAGTATTTCCATACCAGATGATCAGTCCTGAGTCCCCTGTAATTTATAGGAAAGAGAATTTTTATCTTTGCTGTTCCTGATAAAGTACTAACTTCGAGAGATCTAAATCCACAGCTTAGTTTAATTCTGCTATTCTGTTCCTGTAGAACAGGGATGCGGAAGCTGTGGCCCTCGAGATGTTGTTGCATTCTGTCTCCCATCAGCACCAGCCAGCATGACCAATGGTCAGGGATTCTGAGAGTTGTAATCTGGCAACATCTGGAGGCCCACAGGTTTCCCAACCCTGCTGTAGAAGAAAGACTGGGTCCTGTTGTTCTTTTTCTTTGTAGAAATATGTGTAGAAATGTATGTAGCTCTTGCAAAAGAACCAGGAATAGTGGCAGGTATGTGTGGTCTATTATTATCCACTGTCAGCATCAGGCTTATCCCTTTGGCATGCTTTGGTGTTCTATTCAGTGAAATAAATTCCCCCTTTTCTATTTGCATTTGCATCTATTACTGTAGTCCTCTGTTCTATAAGTATGCACCACTCATATGTTGGAATTTTGGATTCCAAAACACAAAGGGGAAGAAAACTTGGGCTTTTCAATGGAATTTTTGCACTGAATAAGCCTGCAGTCCTGTATGTATCTTCCTGTAAGAAAGCTCCATTGAGCACAATAAGTCTCGCTTCTAAACATGCATAGCATTATACTATAATTATATGTTTTACATGGTAGAAAGATGAATTACTCAGTATTCCATTGGGTATTTCCCATGTGTCATGCTATGGCAGTCTGCACTTCTGTTCCCAGCTTAGAGACAGTTCCCGCATATGATTTCCTGTACCAGACACATGTTTCATATAGGACAAAATATATTTACAGTTGTTTATGAAGTACTACTACTTATTTTGCTGAAAGTACACAGCTTTAGAAGTTCAGCTTCACACACAGGAATAAGTTCCATGTAAATATGGCATATATATCTCACACAAAGTCTTAGGATTTTATCTTAGTCAAATGGTAATTGTAAATTGTCTATATTGCTATGCAACCTAAGTGATTTGTTTGTCTTCTGTTTAGGCTCTGCATTTGCTAAAGCTAAACCAGAAAGTCCCTGGACATCTCTGACTAGAAAGGGGATTGTTAGAGTTCTTTTCTTCCCATTCTTCTTCAGGTGGTGGCTACAAGTGACATCAAAGGTTATTTTCTTCTGGCTCCTTGTCCTTTATCTTCTTCAAGGTATAACTAGATGACATTATTAGTTTTTTTAAAAATGCATTGATCAAAAAATGGGCCAAATCTTATTTTTCAGAGTTCTAATGATGCATTTCCATTTATATTTTTTAAACTCAAGTTACCTCAAAAGTTAGAAGCTGCTATAAGGATGAAACTAAATTACAGCAATTCCCGAAAATGTTAACTTCTAAGAAAAGGACTTCACAGTGTAAGAATAAAAAACGCAATTGAGAGAAGGATGTCATTTTGGCACTCCACAGAAACATAATGAAATTAACAAAGGGAAATAGAAACAGTTAGTTTAAAGAACACACAGTGTTTATTCTTGAGCTTAGACAGTGATTTCATATCACTAGAAAACTATATTAAAATGTATTCTATACTGACAGTTTCCTCACCACCTGTTTCAAATATGATAGTAGATAGTGTTATTATTCTACCCACGGCTATTTATTTTTTATTAAGTGTGGTAATACCTATACAGCAATATTTAAATTAAAATTGTTAAGAACATAAGGCCCTGTTGGATCAGACCAAAGGTCCATTTAGTCCAGCGTTGCCAATCACATGCTTATGGTCAGCCAACATTGCCTACAGGACATAAGCACAATAGCAGCCTTCACAGTCATGTTTGTCAGGTATTCAGAGGAATACTGCCTCTGATACTGGTGATAAGATATAGCCATCATGTTGTAACTTTATAAGGGAGTTGCTTCGGCCCCCAACAGTGAGTTCTTGGTGCACTGACCTTGCCCCATCTCCATCCAGGAGATGCAGCTCAGCACACACTGTTCCTGACAGTCCCTTGATCATTAATTATCCACAATGCAGCACTGCAATAAATCAGTTACATTGATACATTATTTCAGCTCCTTCAAAGGTACTAACTTGCCTAAAGGTACAAATTGAGGCACATATTAGATGTTCTGCATTATATGCCTGTCCCAATCCTATTTTGTTGTGACTGTTACCATGGCTTTAAATATGTTTTCCTGTTGTCTTCTGAGATTAGCAGATCTGAAAGCTTGTGCCAAACATTTTAGTTGTTTGTATGCAGTGTAGTATAATGCAATCTTGATGTATACTGATTATATTTAAAAGGTTTTGTCACAACAACAATGTTAACTCTTCAAATAGAGCAGTATAGAAAAACCAAGCTTTTAAGATCAATTGATTTCAGTGAAAGTTTGCTCTATGTTTAAATTGCCTGTATTGATTTTTTTAATACTTAACTTTGGTTTCATCACATTTATTTCTGAGTTTAACAAAAATGACTTATTAACAGTATCATTTGTTTAATTATGAATTATTGTTGCAGATTTAATTCTTCACTGGTTGTTTTTCCCCCATGTCTTTGAAAGTGGCTGCAGTAGTCTTGTTCTATACAGTAGAAGCCACACATAATATACCTCTGACTGAAGTGGTAGGTCCTGTATGGCTCATGTTGCTCCTTGGAACTGTGCATTGCCAGATTGTTTCAACAAGAACCCCTAAACCACTTCCAAGTACAGGAGGGAGAAGGCGAAGGTACAGTTATTTTAACATAGTGAGCCTTTTATGCATGTGCTTACTTTTTATTTCAGAATCTAAACTACCGTATTTTTCGCTCTATAGGACACACTTTTTCCCTTCTAAAAAGTAAGGGGAAATGTGTGTGCATCTTATGGAGCGAATGCAGGCTGCGCGGCTAAGCCCAAAGCCAGAACAGGGAGACGCTGCGCTGCGGAGGCTTCAAAGGCTGTCCCCGAAGCCAGAACTGCGCAGCGCTCCGTCTCGCTGTTCTAGCTTGGGGATGGCTGCGGAGGCTTCAAAGGCTGTCCCCGAAGCCGGAACAGCAAGAGGCTATCCCAGAAGCCAGATCCCTCTTGCTGTTCAGAATTTTTTCCAGATCCCGCCAGATCCCAGAAGCCAGATCCCTCTTGGGGTTCAGAATTTTTTTCTTCTTGTTTCCTCCCCCCCAAAAAAACTAGGTGCGTCTTTTCGTCCGGTGCGTCCTATAGAGCAAAAAATACGGGTATTTTTTAAAAAAGGCTTAATATCTGACATTATGCATTATTTAAAAAATGGTGGGGGTATTCTTGTTCTGCTAAGTTCCTTTTATTTGTGTTTGACCTTCTCATGAAATTTCACTGCTATAAATACTGTTGTGAATTTTTTTAACTGCACCCACTACAGATTGGTATCTCTTATTGGTATCAACACAATAGAACTAACTAATGGGGTGCAGGAAGCTGTTAGTGATTAGTTAAATGCATAATGTGCTCATATTTCTGTTTTTTCTGGACTGGTGTTGTGTAGCTCAGAGGGATGATTTTTGTGCTTAGAGAAGACGCTGACAAAAATGTAACTTTTCTCATGTACAATAACAAACTGTCTGTGAAGCCCAGCCAGTGGCTGAATTGAGAGCTCTTTGCATGCTTACAAGAACGCTGACCGTGTTGTAGTGCTAGCGAATGACACTTACAAGATGCCTTCCACTTTTAATCTCTTCTGATGAAGGAAATTAAGGAAAGCAGCACATTTGGAAGTACATAGGGAAGGCGATGGCTCTAGTACCACAGATAACACACAGGAAGGAACAGTGCAGAGCTACGGTACAAGCACCTCTTACAGTATTGGCGCTGTCTTCAGAGATATCTGGCATGCTGCTTTCTTTTTATCGGGGTTTGTATTTTATTCAAGGCTTTGTTTGTCTTAAAGATGCACTATCCTTTTTCTGACAAAGTAATCATTCATCTGTACTGCTGACATCCTTCTGTACATCCAGCTAGCTTTAGTATAATCCTGTGGCTGTGTTCTTCTGACTTTGGCAAATGAAGACAACTTTTCTTATAAATGCCAAGTGGATATATAGAAACTGATCATTTAGGTGGAAAATATTGTTCAACCATTGCCAAAGGGCAAGAAAAAGTAATAAAAAAAAAATCAGGTTCTAGTCTTCTAAAGTTGCTAGTTGTCTTGCAGTGTAGGTTTCCATATTCTGATATTGTAGTTTCAGTTCATTAATGCAGTGGTCTTCAGCCATTCCAGATCTGGGCTCATATTTCGTCTCTGCCTGCTATATAGACCCTACTTTTAGGGGTTCTCCCCTCCTGATTTTATGTGCTGGTGGTTTGCAGTTGTGAGGGAGAGAGTTAATACAGTGGTACCTCGGGTTAAGTACTTAATTCATTCTGGAGGTCCGTTCTTAACCTGAAGCTTTTCTTAACCTGAAGCACCACTTTAGCTAATGGGACCTCCCACTGCTGCCCACACGATTTCTGTTCTCATCCTGAAGCAAAGTTCTTAACCCGAGGTACTATTTCTGGGTTAGTGGAGTCTGTAACCTGAAGCGTATGTAACCTGAAGTGTATGTAACCCGAGGTACCACTGTATTACGTTTGTTTCACGTATAAGGGCTGGTGCAGTGGTACCTCGGGTTATGAACTTAATTCATTCCAGAGGTCCGTTCTTAATCCGAAACCGTTCTTCACCTGAGGCGCGCTTTCACTAATGGGTCCTCCTGTTGCTGCTGCGCCGCTGGTGCACGATTTCCATTCTCATCCTGGGGCAAATTTCTCAACCCTGCTAAAAACATTTATCTTTAGGCAAGCTTGTCAAGACATGTTGAATGTTGGCATGTGTTTTAATCTGGTTTTAGCTTATTGTTGATTTTAATTATTTTTGAAGGTTTTACATTGTTATTCTTACTGGGTTGTTTTTTTACTAATGATTTCATTTTTTATCCTTTTTGCAAGCCACTTTGATTTTTTTTATAAAAAAACAACAACAACCACCACCAAATTGTATATAAATTGTATGACATAAATAAACTTTAGAGTGGGTCATTGAAGCAGTTGTGGGTCATGTGCCATCTACTGAAGACCTATGCAGTAGTGAAATGATGCCGTCTATGACTGACTAGCAAGCAAAAACAACAAAGGTGTTTGCTCCAATTAGATTACAAAAAAAGCTAAGGTTTGTTGATTGGTGCAATATATGAAGCTTTAAAAGCTATTAAATCCTGGAGATGTAGATTATCATATAGCCTGCTTTTTAACTATGCATCTGGCCAAACAATGATGATTAGTTTCTTTAAAAGTTGTTCCAAACGGTTGAGAAACAAGTATATTAATGCACTTGTATTAAGCAGTCAGAAAAAAGGATAGTGCAGCTTCCTACATCTACATGTTTTATATTTTATGTGTTCAGCATTATTACACTAACGTGTCACACTGATGCTCTTATATGATTATGCTGTTTCCTATAAACTAAAATTATGGCCTATAATCATCACATGTTGCTTCTGGCAGGCCATTTAAGCACATCAAGGCAATAGAGGTCCCATCCCTCTTTAATTTTAAAAACACATTTCTGCCTTAGCTCGTGCTTGAGCTCAATTATTATAATTTTAATTCTGCCCTAATTTTTCAGTTGCATTTTCATCCTCTATTTTAATGTTTTGATTATGTACTGTATTTCAATATTCTTGTGTAGAAATGTTTCTAATAAATTCTACACAATGGAATTTATCTTTCACTGTAAAGAAGTTTGCAAGGTATGGAAATCTTTCATATTTAAATACATTTTGGCTGTGCTCTGTGTTCAGAGCAATATTCATGACTTCCAAAGCAATTACATGCATCACCTACGATACAAAAATAGGCATTTGGAAAAAAAAATCCCTTCCTTCCCCAAGACTCAGAGTCCTGGTCAAATTATTTGCATGTAAACTGGATTATTTTTATTTAAAGAGATGTGGTACAGCTTTTATACCCTAATGGAGGAAATTCAAAGCTGTAAACTTAATTTTGTTTTGTAGGAAATGTTGCAAAACATGGAGAGTTTGGGTTGTTTAAAAAGCTATACATTATTATGTATTTGATATGGTAAGCTTGAAGCTCCCATGTGAAAATGCTTGGACGGCTGACTTTAGCATCAGTGAATTTAAACAGAACTCTAAATATGCTCTATTATTATTTTTTTTGAGAAGCATTGAAAAAGAAACTAGAATATGACACAGTGAGAAAATTTGTTTGTAGAGAGAAAGCTAATCCAATAATCTTGGAGTCATGAGATTGTTTCCAGTTAAACAATTGTTATTTGAAGCTATCCTTCACAAAGTCAAAGTGCTTTAACTGAAAGCTCTGTTCAATGTTAAATATGGCAACTCATTGATATTTTTCTTCAGAAGAGCCTGTTTGTAGCGGTAGATCACAGCAGAACTTGGTTTTATGAAGCTTCATGGTGTTGTTTTCCTCGTCTTTCTGCTAGTGCTTCAGTATTAGGTGGAACAAATTAGAAATAATATGATTAGCTTTTCTCTTTTTGCATAAGTGGAAGTACAAGTTTCAGGTATTTGCTGGGCAGAGCAATCTTACCATATTTTATCTGCCCTGAATCTTCCAACATTCAGCTTCATTGGTGTAATGATTATAGGGGTTGCTCGTGCGTAAGTTGCCACCACTCCTGGCTAGTGTGCCTGGTTAAGCCTTTTCTGTCTGGACAGCCCTTCACTTCGTGGCTGTTTCAGTCGCTAGCAGAATCCGTCAGTGGGCGTTTCTTAAACCTTTTCCAACATAAAAGCTGTTTGACTCCAAGTCTCCTCCTACTCTCTCTGCGCGGGAGTCTTCTGCGCAGAGAGGGTGTGGGTAGCGGAGGACCTGTGCTCTCCTCGCTGGTCTCCGGCGAGGAGTCCTGGAGCCCCCTCCCCGATTCTCCCATCTGCTCCCCTTTATCCCTGGTGTTACGCTCATTTCCTTCCCCAGCTGATGAGCTGCCTCTCTCCCTGCTGGGCCAATCCACAAGTTCTAGTGTTAGGCTTGAGGGAGAAAAGATTTCCTTTATCCACTTTCTCTCTGCCATGCTTAATTGTATAAACTTCAATCATGTCACATCTTCTTACCTTTTCCCTAAAAAACCCCAAATGCTGTAACCTTTCCTAATAGGGGAGCTCTAACTTTTGTAGTTTTAAACAAAATGCACACTTGTTTCCCTGAGTGGTGAGAAGTTCCAGGGAAACCGCATTTAGCTGGCTTTGATTTTCTTTGGAAAAAAGTCTCATTGGAGGCTTAAGGTATTCCTGTAATATTTAAGTTTCTTAAAAAAATATATATACAGGATGAGCTTAAGGCTCCTACAAACAGCAAATTCCGCTGTCCGACATCAGATGTTGAGATAGGTAAAGGTAAAGGGTAAATGGATGCCTGACCATTAGGTCCAGTCGTGACCGACTCTGGGGTTGAGGCGCTCATCTCGCTTTATTGGCCGAGGGAGCCGGTGTACAGCTTCTGGGTCATGTGGCCAGCATGACTAAGCCGATTCTGGCGAACCAGAGCAGCACACGGAAACGCCGTTTACCTTCCCGCCGGAGTGGTACCTATTTATCTACTTGCACTTTGACATGCTTTTGAACTGCTAGGTTGAAGGAGCAGGGACCGAGCAACGGGAGCTCACCCCGTTGCGGGGATTCGAACCGCCGACCTTCTGATCGGCAAGTCCTAGGCTCTGTGGTTTAACCCACAGCGCCACCCGCATCCCAATGTTAAGATACAGTCCCTCAAAAGAGACTTTGCAGATCACAAAGTTTATAATTTCACCACTTCCCCCAGTCCCACTTAAAAAATGCAGCTGTTGTTCCCTCTCTCTTGCTGGATAGTAAGTGTGAGGCATGTTCTCTAACCATCTTTTAGCTTTCTTGACTATTTTCGTGCAAACTCCCCAACAACAGAAGTGTCTAGCAACTTTGCCTGCTGACCATTGAGGAAATTTATGCAGTTGTTCTGGCCCTCATTGCCGCCCTTTCTATCAAAATTCCTTTGCGGTAACCAAATGACTATCTTGGAAAAATATTGTTGCACGCATCTGAATCACTGAGCTACGAAAGACTCCTGGGGTTCCAGCACTTACCCAGGATTTTGTTTCCTTGGAATGAAGGTCAATTGAGACTTTGGTATCTTCATGGTTTTCTTATATGTGTCTTTATTTACACATATATACTACCTGAGAATGAGGTGGAGGGGCTCACAGCTTTAACACTCCAGCAGATCTTGCCCCCCCCATTAGGTTCCCAGGGAGAAGCCATAGTTTTGGGTCCAGCACAGAGCAATGCAGGCCTCTTCCAACTTTGGTCAAAACCCAAACACATCCACTGTTGGCCTGTTGTTCTCCATCCTAGGGTGACCTGGCATCCAGTAAAGTGAAGTGGGAAATGGCCCACCCATTCCTCTCTAAGATGCTGATGATGGGTGCTTAGCTGAGTAAAAAAAGGTAAAGGTACCCCTGCCCGTACGGGCCAGTCGTGTCCGACTCTAGGGTTGTGCGCCCATCTCACTTAAGAGGCCGGGGGCCAGCGCTGTCCGGAGACACTTCCGGGTCACGTGGCCAGCGTGACAAAGCTGCATCTGGCGAGCCAGCGCAGCACATGGAAACGCCGTTTACCTTCCCACCAGTAAGCGGTCCCTATTTATCTACTTGCACCCGGGGTGCTTTCGAACTGCTAGGTGGGCAGGAGCTGGGACCGAAGGACGGGAGCTCACCCCGCCGCGGGGATTCGAACTGCCGACCATACGATCGGCAAGCCCTAGGCACTGAGGTTTTACCCACAGCGCCACCCGCGTCCCATGAGTACCCGCTTAGCTGAGTAGCTATTACCATAACAAAGGAACTGGTTTAACTGGTTCACCAAGTTTCCTCCTACAGATTCTAACCTAATGGGTACAGAATCAGAGGCCTGGAAGCCTGACCTCCCCACAAGGTTTTGCACTCCCCCATGTAGAGCTGCTACTCAAGAGAAAGCCAGATTGTATTAGATTTTCATAAGAGATTAGATTATGGCAAAAAGGTAGTTTGTTGATTGTGCTTTGCTTCTTTTTTAATATAGTGGCTTCCTTTCCAGTTCATTGACCACAGGCATTAACAAATTAAGGGTGTGTTTGTTTTGTTGACTTCTTTTGTTCTTTGTTCTGGGTTATGTTCTACCTATAGACTTGAAATAGAGGATATTTTTAAAACAGTGGATGTTTCAGATTCTTTCTCTTTGAATCCCTTTCGTGTGTGCGCACATGCAGATTAGCATTAAAAGGTGTGGCTGTCCTTGGGAACCTCAGCTTCTCATAGCTGTGACCTTTTTAACACTGTGATTTGAGGATTGGGAGCCGAGGCCTACCTGGTAGTGGAGAGTGACATTGTGGCGGGTTGAAGGGCTCCGCCGGCGGCAACCAGGATGGCGGGGTCTCTGTGGCGGATGGGCGGCGGGTTGCGCTTGGCCGCCCAGGTCCTACGTGCCCAAAGCGGTTCTGGCGCGACTACGGGAGTCCGGCGTGCAAGTGGAGAGGTGCATGTCTTCAAGTACCGCCACTATGTAGAGCCTCCGCCGGCCCATCAGATAAAGGGGGAAGTGCTCAGTGCGCTCATGTGGTTCTGGATCCTGTGGAACTTCTGGCATGATCCTGATGTTGTGCTGGGTCACTTTCCTTATCCAGATGTTTCTCAGTGGACAGATGAAGAGCTGGGAATCCCTCCTGATGATGAAGAATAACTTGAATAGTTTGTTCTAAGCAAGTTTAGGCTCCTGGGAGATCTACAAATGGCTTCATTTTACAGAGACTTTAATTCAGGTTGTAAATAAAATTAGCTAACCAGAAAACAAAAAAACACAAAAAAACACACTGTGATTTGAGGGATTAATTCAGACAGATATACTTTGTGTTTAGTTTCTACTTTACTGATACCCACATCTTACCTTCTTGCTTCAATATTTGATCCAAATTAATTGGTGGACTGAGGCCCAATACGCAGTGCTGAAAGCTGATTGGCTGAAAACTAGAATGTGGGGAAGAGTCCCAGGTCTCAACTTCCCAGTTTGTCTTCTGGATGAAGAAGATAGGTCTGAAGAGTCTCTTTGACGCTGCCATAAGGGCAGAGTTGACAAGCACTGTGTTTTATCTCCCTGTTACCTTGGGAATCAGTTTCCTCCTGAGGGCACAAGCAGGGCTGTGCAAAGCTGGTAATAGGCCCAGATCTGATGGGAAATGTGGGCCCCATTTCAATAATCTTTACCAAAAGGTCCCCCTTTGCCTCTACCAGGGGGACTTGGAGTAGGTCTCCTCAAAATCATAGGCCCATGCCAATTGGCCACCTGCCCTCTCCTCACCTCCATTCTGGCCTAGGCACATGCACAGTACTGTAAAATGTTTATGCAACCACACAGTGGTGAAAGCAAGAGATTTTACTTTCCCTTCCAAGGATGCCATTCGCAGCAATGCTGTTCACTACTACCATCAAGAGGTGTCTTCCCCCCACCTCGTAGACCATAATTATTAAATATAATAACAATAGCATTTTATTTATATCCCTCCCTCCCCTGCCAAAGCCGTGCAGAATATACAGTCAAATCAAGGACCAATGAAACAAAACACAGAATAAGCAAAATAAAGTAACTTAGCTGGTATAAAATAAGCCACTTGGAGTTATTATGTATCTTTTGTGTATCCTTTGCTGCTGTTCTCTTTTGTGATGCATTTTATCACCTTCATCTAGCCTTTTGTTGAGATTCTGCTGCTTAGAGAGGCCTTATACTCTACTATTGCTTTAAGTAGTACATAGAAATAAATTTATAGAGGAATAAAGTACAATTAGCCATGGATGGTTCAAAATGACATGTTTTCAAGGGGGAACCATGACAGTCATTATTATTTTGTTGCTCTGACAAAGTTCTGACTTTGTTCATGGGCATATCCAAACCTATCGCCTTCAAGACTAACAGTTGACTTTGGCAGATTTATATATCCCGAATTAGTGATTCTTTGGGGGAACTTGGTAGATTAAAATGTACCATCTGTTCATATGTGAAATGTTGCATGCAGGTTTCTGTTCTTGTACAGCATAGAAATTTGGGAGACAAGATACGGAGGAACTGTAATGCAAACAATTATTTTATGTATATGTTTAACTCTAGAGCAAAAAAAGCAAAGAATTCAATAGACAAGTCAACAGAGACTGACAATGGGTATGTCTCGCTTGATGGAAAAAAGACCGGTAAAAACAATGAAGATGTTTTACAATCCCAGGAGCCGCAGTGTGAAGTTATCAGATCAGAAGAGACATGCTGGAGCACAGGAGCAGCCAGAAATTCATTCAGTAATACAAATCATCACAAAGTCAGTGTCTCATTTCTTCTAGAATATTTTTATAGTTCAGCATCAATATTTTCATATTATGAGAATGCAAGAATTCCCATGCTGGGCTAAGACAAAAAGGCCATCTCACCCAATGCTTTTTCCCTCCCTCCCTCTCTCGCATGCATTTTAGATGATCAGATCTCATATGAATAGGCTGAGATATAAACAAGTCTTTTGCTCGCAAACACAACCCCTTTATAGGAGTCAGCAAAAAACAACGAAATCTTCCATTAACTGTAGCGTCACAATTATTGGTTAACAGCTTTGGAATTAGCCAGGATACTAAATCATAGGTTGAAGTTAGACTAATATCCTGGCTTGCTGCAAACCTTTTAACTATTAGGTCCACTTAGGGACATTAAGGAAAATATTGTGGGAAATATAACAAGGATCTTCTAAGCACAGGCAGGAAACATTAGCCAAGGATTTTTGTCACACCCAATTTCTTTGATTTTTTACTTTTCCGGTCTAGGGTGCTGACTTTACACAGAACCTTTTGTGCAAAGTAAAAGTCATCCCACTGCAACACTAGAGTTGTGGTTTGTGAAAACACAGCCTTTTAATCTTAGACCATACAGGATTTACCTCCAGTCTTAGACCTGTGATGTTTAGCACTAAGTTCAGAGAAAAAATATCCCTCTCTCTGCTTTTTACATAGGATCTCTAAAGAACTGGTTAGGAATTTTATCTCCTGATTGGAAGATAAAGTGCTCCTTCTGCTCTTTAGAGATTGCAACCCAGGCAGAGTACTTTACTTGCCAATCAAATTGGGAGAAAAAGAGAATGGGCAGTTCACACAGCATCCTTGGCCAGATGTCCCTGCTAGCCCATAGCGAACTCCTTGCTGTACAAGCTTGTCTCTCCAAGAAGTCTTCTTAAGTCCCTTGACTTAAGTCTTCAAGGGACTTGATTGACCTCTCTTCAGACAGTGCCTTGTGAAACTGTGGAACATGCTACACAAGATGTAGGAATTTAGAAATGTCTAGCACCCACAAGCTCATAACAATACAGAAGATACTTGTTAGGTTGGCTAACCATGTACTCTGAATTTTTTCCTGCAATTCTTCAGTAAGCAGTGTGCAGATGACCTTGTTGCATAGTAACAGTACTATGGTGATGGTGGAGGAAATATTATGTCTGATTTTACGATTATAAAGATGTATAGAGAATAATTGTAATACATGCAAAGTGGAATTATGTTACATTTGAAGTAAAAAAATAGTTTTTACTAACACCCAATTCTTAATTGATCTAGGATAATCACAGAACAGTGACAAATGTATCTGATGAAGTTTCAAGCGAAGAGGGACCAGAAGCAGGATATCCCTTGCGCCGTAATGCAGAACGTGCTTCCAGTGACTGCACATTTCGGAATAGGAAATCCCATCATTATAAGAAACATTACCCTGTGGAGGTATGCTCTTGCAATGATCTCAGACAAACTTTCATGAAAGCAGTAAGATATATAATTGGAAAACTATTTCCCATCTATAACAGCTTCCCTGTTTAGTGAGTTGATATTCTTAAGGGGGAGCCCTCAGCCAAGTGGGTGACTCTCAGGGTAGGGCTATTCAGTGTCAGCTCTTTCTTTTTGTTGGGTGGTTGTGGTACAAGAATGTGTACAGCTGTTCTACACTGGTGTAGAAGCCATAGTATGAGTTGTGTTAACCCCAACAACAACAACAACAACCAAGGGGGAACAAGGACAGAGCTAAGTGGCAATATTAGAGCAAGGAATAAGATCTCCCATTGGGCTAACACACCCAGTGCTTTGTTATGTTGCGGAAAATAGAGTTTGTAATAGAGCTATAAAGCTAGAAAATTATCAGAAGACATACTACTTTAGAAATATAAACATCACTAATTCTAAATACCAAATGTCTGTTACAAAAGGGCCTCTAGGTATGTTTTTGATTTTTAATTCAAGTTGGCTATCAACTGAATGTTTAAAACAGACTAATGTTTGGCATTATATGAGTATGAAGAAATTTCTAGGGGTTATGATGGCCTGGGGTCCCAGTGGAATAACAAGCAGACACAGGCTTTGATTGAAAACTATTCCTTTATTGGCACAACTGTACCAAGGGAGAGTCTCCTGAAAAATCAAAGGGAGACTGCAACATGGCACAAATAAGCAGTGTTCTTAAACATTTCTGTGCTACACATGTGATTACTATTAACCTATCATAGGCTTACAGTAAGGCTTACAACCTACTTCATCAAATCTAAGCCAATCAGAAATCTTTTAACTCCTCTGAATAGTCCTCCCCAACTCTCTGATTTTAATAATACATGATTAAATATAATTATTCTTAAATGTCCTTCTTTATTAACTTCTGATTATCTTATTCACTTGCTGTCTACCTTGTTAATTCCATTTTTTTATTCAGCAAACTGTGATTAAGTGAAATTGTTCTACCTAGCTGATTTCTTGCATTCCTTTAGCATACCAGAGTACTGGTTGTTATGGTTGTTATCCTTGCATTCTTCCAGCATACCAGACTACTGGTTCCAATAAATATTGTGTACAGACATTTATTTCTTCTGTTGGAAAGGGTTTAGCTAAAGTTCCCACTCCCATGCCAAGCTACAAAATAGATCCAAACAGGAATCTGGAATAAGAAGCAAATGCAGTTTTAGGGAAAAATGAGTTTATTATGGAAACAAGAAAAAAACCATGTTCTCCTTCAAATATGCAATGTCTATCTTTCAGGATATCCCTAAATCAGGCACTAGTTGCAGTTCACGATGTTCAAGTTCCAGACAAGATTCTGAGAGTACAAGACCAGAGTCTGAGACAGAAGATGTATTGTGGGAGGACCTTTTGCATTGCGCAGAGTGCCGCTCCTCTTGCACCAGTGAGACAGATGTGGAAAACTCTCAAGTTAACACATGTATAAAAAAAGAGTACAGAGATGACCCATTTCACCAGGTTAGTGGGAAAAGACCACATTGTGTATCTTACTAAATCTATCGTGAGTTAAAATTGTGGCAGGAAAAGAGGTAAACTGAACAAAACATAGTTATTTGCAAATAGGCATTTTTGGTAATGAAATACTTTTTTGTAGTGGTAAATTAGTGTTTAGTATACATTGTCCGTTTCCGTGTGCGGCTCTGGCTCGCCAGATGCAGCTTTGTCACGCTGGCCACGTGACCCGGAAGTGTCTCCGGACAGCGCTGGCCCCCGGCCTCTTAAGTGAGATGGGCGCACAACCCTAGAGTCTGTCAAGACTGGCCCGTACGGGCAGGGGCACCTTTACCTTTATACATTGTCCAGAATAAAACCTTCTTCTTTTCTTCTTTTTCTTTTACACAGAGTCACTTGCCCTGGTTTCATAGTTCTAATCCTGGGCTCGAAAAAGTAAGCGCAATTGTTTGGGAAGGTAATGACTGCAAAAAGGCTGATATGTCGGTGCTTGAGATCAGTGGCATGATAATGAACAGAGTGAGTATCTATTTGAAATATTTTACTTGGCTTTACCCGAGTTAAAGATACTTCTGTTTCCCTGAAGGGGGGCACAGTGATGTCTGTACCATGTTGCAGTTCTGTAGGTTTCAATTTGCTTCGTATTCAGTCATAAAAGTGGACACAATCTTTTCTTTTTAGCCACAAGCGGGGCAGACCTGTCTAGAGTTTGCCTCACTTCCTTTGCCCTGTGTGCAGATTACACAGAGCAGCTGACTGCTAGTAGCCCATATAATAAATAAATAAAAGACCCACAATTTATTGGCAGAATAAAAATTGAGTAGGTTTAATTAATTCACCCTGTAAAACTGGAACACCACTACACATGAGCATGGAAGGCTGGCTAACCTGAACAACTTTTTTTTTCAAAGTTTCAGAAATATTAGGTTGGATTCAAAAAACTAATTGTGCAAGCAGGAACATTTCCTTGATTTTTGCCAATTATCCCCTTCCCTCCTCCATATCCCATACTGTTCCCATGGGTTTCCCAACAATCAGGATGGACTTTTGGGGAACAGCAGGGATCTATAGTGAGTAGGAGGCAAGAAAACAGAAATAAAGCGGTCTTCCTTGGGGGGCTGTGGACTTTCCCTCCTTGGAGGTTTCTAAGCAGAGGTTGGATGGCCATCTGCCATGGATGCTTTAGTTTAGATTCCTGCATTGCAGGAATTTGGACTAGATGACCCTTGGGGTTCTTTCCAATCCTACAATTCTGTATTTCTATTCTATGAAAACTGAATTGCATGAGTGGAATTTTGCTTGAGATTCTTAGAATGCAACTTGTTATCATTTTTGATCCTTTGGCCCTCCATCACCTATATGTATAGGTCCTAGGAATTGTCCTTTTAATTAAGTCTTAACAAACTTGAAAATCATTCTGGTATATTACATATTTTAAGCATATTTTGCAAACAATCACTTTTATGGAAGAGTACTAAACAGTATTTCTTAACATGCTACTTCATATTATACTGCTGGGGTTTTGTTATTTATAGTTTTTTAATAATATAGTTGGCGGGGTATAAATAAGAAATTGTTGTTGTTGTGTGTTGAGTTTTAAAAATATGTATTTCTCTCATCTTTAGGTAAACAGCTATGTACCAGGAATAGGATATCAGATTTTTGGAAATGTTGTCTCTCTAATCCTGGGTTTAACACCGTTTGTATTTCGAATTTCCCAAGCTAAGGATCTGGAGCATTTAACTACACATTCTGCTGCTGAACTTTATACGATTGCATTTGGGTCAAATGGAGACATAATGGTTCTTTCCATGGTTATAGTGTGCTTCATAGTTCGTGTTTCCCTTGTATGGATATTCTTCTTTTTATTATGTGTGGCTGAGAGAACCTACAAACAGGTAGGCATTTGCAGCAAACTCCTCATTCACATGAAGAAAGAAACTGCAATGTATTATTATGTTTTGCTTTTTGGCATATATGTTTTTCATGTAGAACACATTTTTAGATATTTATTATCTCATTATTTTAAGATTTGCATCCTCTTCTTCAAAAAAATTATAGAATTAAAAATTAAAAGGAAAATAAAATAGAATTAAAAGGAAAATAAAATTTATTATTTTCCTATTATTTATTATTTATACCTGAGAATTAATATATAAAGTATGGAAATGGAAATTTCCAACTTTAATTTGACCACAATATTAAAGTATGGACAGTATGTAAAGTATCTAAAGTTACAACGTCTTTACAATGGTTTAAAAATCTGTATTGGTATTCCAAATGCATTTCAGTTCTTAATTCACTAAACGTAACTTATCGCTTACAGAGGCTACTTTTTGCCAAACTCTTTGGCCACCTAACATCTGCAAGAAGGGCACGGAAGTCTGAGGTTCCTCACTTTCGACTAAAGAAGGTGCAGAATATTAAAATGTGGCTTTCCCTCCGCTCCTATCTAAAGGTTTGTTGGCCCTTATTTTTTGTTTGCCGTATGTGCTTTTAAACCAGATGTGTGTTATACTGACAGTACTCAATACTGAGCATTGCCTCTTCTGAATTTTTGCATTTCTCCTGAACTTTGTCGTACAGGTAAGTAAGTATTTCTCATTGTGAAAATCAAGAGGTGAGCAACTGAGATCTTCTGCCAGTCTTAGTTTTAGCAGGTCACATTTTTATAAGGCCATGCTTTCTTGATTCTGGTTGGGCAGAGTGGTTTAAAACAACACAGTTTGGCATAATAATTTCATTTTTGTAGTCTAAAATATTGTGGAAAGAAGCCTCATTTATAAAGAAGAAACCTTAGGGCAATGCCTTTTAGTTGTTTTATAAATTGGCTGACTCTTTGCCTTAGTCAAGGAAGAAATAAAAAGGAAGGTTGTTTTCTTGATGGACTTTAAAAAGCACAGGACTAAAAATGTAACTATTAATAACACTTCTGACAGATGTTTCTGGGAAATTGTGCTATTTTAGTCCTCATATGTCACCATTACATTTCCAGCAGTGTAGAGAATGTTTCTGCGTTAGTGTCACAGTCATCTGTTAAATGCTGCTGTGGTGCCATATCTGATGCTGGATGTTACAAGACCCTTCCCCATACTGTGTTGAATTTTCTCTCTCCCCTCCCCACACTGTGTGTTGTTTTTGATTGTTTCCCCCCCTCCTTTGGGTTCAGTTTGGTTGCTCTCTGGAGCATTGGAGCACATACTTTACGTTTCAAGAATAGCGTCTCCCTCTTCCATGTGTGGGGGAAATACCGTATTTTTCGCTCTATAAGACACACCAGACCACAAGACGCACCAAGTTTTAGGAGGAGGAATACAATAAAAAAAATATTCTGACTCTCAGAAGCCAGAACAGCAAGAGAGATTGCTGCGCAGTGAAAGCAGCGATCCCTTGTGCTGTTCTGGCTTCTGGGATAGCTGCGCAGCCTGCATTCGCTCCATAAGACGCACACACATTTCCCCTTACTTTTTAGGAGGGAAAAAGTGAGTCTTATAGAGCAAAATATACGGTACTCTTTGCAGTGGCAAATGCTGGTACTATTACATTGCTAGCCATTGGCAGAGCTTCCACTGTGGGAGGAGATCTTTCATCCGAGAGTCAATTATACTGGAAGTGTGTTATGAATATACTATTTAAATATTAATAATGCCAACCTAGCAGTTCGAAAGCACCTCCGGGTGCAAGTAGATAAACAGGGACCGCTTACTAGCGGGAAGGTAAACGGCGTTTCCGTGTGCTGCGCTGGCTCGCCAGATGCAGCTTGTCACGCTGGCCACGTGACCCGGAAGTGTCTGCGGACAGCGCTGGCCCCCGGCCTCTTGAGTGAGATGGGCGCACAACCCCAGAGTCGGACACGACTGGCCCGTATGGGCAGGGGTACCTTTACCTTTATTTAAATAATGTTTTCCCTCCACTCAATGTTTCCATATATGTAGATGGTACATTTTTGTTTTTACCTCTGTAGATTTTTCTACAGAACTTTAAGGGCTTCTCAAAGTTTCCCGCACAATTTCAAAGAGAGACAGGTTTGGTGGAACTTGGTTTCCCTTTCCCCCCATATCAATGGCAGGCAACACTTCTTCTCCTGCTATTCAAGGGTCACTGGAGGGGATATATTGCAGCTCCACAATAGATGTAGTGTCATCTTATCCATCTCAGTATGATCATCAGCGGCTGGCTTGTTCTTCCAATGATAATGAATGTTTTGCTATCTTAAAACAATGAAAAAATACCCAAAAAAGTTTACTACACAAAATATTTGTTAATCGTAGAAGTGTTGATCACTTTGAACCACATAAATAAGTTGAGATATGATTGAGTCTTTTGGACACATGAGCAGTGATCTGGGTCCTCCCTTTGTGCAAGCTGGCTGACAAATAAGGAGGAAAATATTCTGTTAACAATAGTTTTTCCTTTTGTGTGAACTAGGAAACTCTGATTAACAAGTTCAGAACAAGTAATATATTAAATCATGAAGTAGGCTTCATGTCTTTACTTGTTCAAAAGCTGTTAAGCATGGCTTACCAATTTAGATGAAACAGGAAACTTTAGTTAATGAAAGGTTTCTAGGTTTGGGTTAAAGGGGTTTCATGAAAGGGTGTTCAAACATTGATTTATTAAGCTGATATATAATCATACAAACTTTCCCATTGTCTCATCTTGCATCAAAGCAGTGGTATTATATAATAACCATAGCAGGACACCTTAATGTTGTTCAACTACCCCTTGTCCCCTGTGTGGCTAAACACATTGTTCATGCCTCCTGTTTTGTTGTTGTTGAAGATTTACGGATGTGTTAAAGAAAAAAGACCATTTTGTTATTAATTTAGCTGCCTTACAATCCAGCAGAGGGAGCTAAAAGGCCTAAAAGTAGGGGTTACTCACCTGGAAGAACTTAGCAGTGAAACCAAAAGCTGATGAGTCCTACCATTCCAGGTTAGCATAGCACAGGGGTCAGCAACCTTTTCCAGCTGTGGGCTGATCCACCCGTCCCTCAGACCATGTGGTGGGCCAGACTATATTTTTTGGGGGGAAAGAACGAATTCCTATGTCCCACAAATAACCCAGAGATGCATTTTAAATAAAAAGACACATTCTACTCACGTAAAAATACTCTGATTCCTGGACTGCCCGCGGGCCAGATTGAGAAGGCGATTGGGCCGCATCTGGCCCATGGGCCTTAGGTTGCCTACCCATGACATAGCAGTTCATTGTCCCTCAATAAAAGTTGCAGAATATCAGTGGTTCAGCTTCTTAATAAACCAGCTCTGCACTTTCATCCTCTAATTCGAGAACTTTTGTTTGGGGTTCTCAAGACTTGGTCATACTGTCTTTCTAAGCAACTGATATTTCTTATGTCTACACCCCATGCACAAGGCAGGAAATCCTACAGTAAGCTAATTTCTCTTCAGTCCTGCTGTCCCTAGTCTTAGAAATAGTGTTTTTTTCTATGTCCTGCTTGTATGCTCCTTAACTTTCAGAGAGAATTGTATGCATTGCATTACTGTAGGCGACTTGTTAGAATGATAGCAGAGATCTTTTCATGTTTTTCCCCCTGTGCATTATTTGTAGGAGGTGGATTGTAGCACATGGTAATTGGAGAATGGCTTTTCAAGAGATTGTGGGGATGCAGCTGAAATTCAGACTCTTGTGATCAAGACAATATCATTTCATGGCACAAAGCTATCTTAGAACAATTTTTTTCCAGCCACTATTTCTCCCTTGTCATTATTAATAAGCATGCTTAACACCATACTCCTTTAAACCTTAGGAGGCAAGTATATGATATATTGCATTTAAAACTTGTCATTTAATTGCATGATCAGTCTATAGACATGTCACCCCATTTACCAGGTTTCTATGGTTAATCCCTCCAGAGAATTACTCACTAAGTTTCCCTTTTATTTTCAGCGTCGAGGTCCTCAACGGTCAGTTGATGTAATAGTCTCATCTGCTTTTTTGTTGACTCTTTCGGCTGTATTTATCTGCTGTGCACAGGTAAGGAAAGAACCAATTTACTTAATTTAAAAATTTATCTAACCAGAAGATATGTGTGCGCACTCTGTGTGCATGCGTGGGCCTAAAGATTTGCAGGACGCCTGAATGTTGTTCAACTATTTGCCTCGTATTTGTACTTAAAACAAGAACAACTGATCTGTTCCAGTCTTTCCGTGATTGGATTATGAGCCCAGTCAAAGCTCTGTGTTCCACATTTGCACTTAGGGGGAACTAAAAACTGCTATATTTCCCCCCTTTTTGGCAGAAGCAGATTAAATCTTCAGGCACAGGAGCTCTCCAAAGTGGATTAAGCCTGCTAATTTGCACACAAATAGGTCCAGGGGCTTTGGTGAGCAAAGGAGAGAAATATTCATTTCCCTCCCTAATCCATATTACAGCAAATAGCTTTATTAGGCCAACTAAAACTCCAAAATCTATACTGGTTTCATATTTTTGAGTAGCGGTGGTGGGGGGTTGTCTTGTACTCTTTCTTACCTTAATATAAGACGTGACCAACTGGCGGCGTCTGTTCATTATGATGTTGGTTGACAACTTCCTAGAGTCCACCTTTCAGCACCCATCAAGTGACTGGTGCTGCATTTTCAAAGGAACTCCTCTCAGTGCCAGTAAGCTGGTGGATGCTGAGAGAGAGCCCCTGTTTACAACTGATAGTATGCTTTCAAAGGGAGATGGCCAAATTAGGATCACTGCTTGAACTAATTAGACGCGCAAGCCAGAGATTCCCCGCTACTGCATTACAAGGTGAATCCACCCTGATCACTGCCTGTGGCGTGCTGAAGAATTCAGGAGGATTTTTTTCCACAAGCAGCATAGGGCACAATTTTTCAAAAAAGTTAAAATAAGCTTTTAACTAAAATAATAATCCTCTGCTGCTTTGCTTTAACCAAAAAATCCTCCAGTGCTTCAAAGCCACCATTTAGACAGTCTTGCTTCTTGTAAAACCCATGAAACTCGAGTACAGAAACATAGATATATTATATATTGAAAGGTATAAGGATGTAGAGAATAGAGAAAAACAAAACCAGGCTTTGTGGGGGCCCTGATCTGATTCCAGCTGCTTTGTTGATTTGTGATTTGACTCAGGAAATACAGAGCAGCTGCACACCCTGGTACACAGACATGCCTACATGAACAGTACAGTTCTAAGACCAATGAAGACCAATCAAATGATATTTAATTAGCTCTGTTTTAACCTGAGTGAACAGTGCATCAGGTTCTCCTCTGCAAACACACTGAAACAAATGGAGGTTGCCCTAGACAATGTTGTAATTTTACACAGCTCCATTGAATTCAGTGAGACTTACACAAAAGAAACTATGCATTGTACCCTTAGTCTTTAACTACATTGTAAAAGTATCTACATTGTATGATAACTTGACTCTCTGTGAAGTCTAGATAAATTTGAATGTGTTTCCTACCTTGAGTTTGTTTTATTTATTTTCCCTTTCAGCTACTTCATGTACATGAGATCTTCCTTGATTGCCATTACAATTGGGAACTAGTGATATGGTGCATTTCATTAACTCTCTTTCTTTTAAGATTTGTTACACTTGGGTCTGAAACAAGTAAAAAATACAGCAATACCTCAATATTACTTACTGAACAGGTGAGAACTCTCTTGGTAAGGGTGATGAATGCATCTCTACATGCAGTGATGTCTGGCACTGTGTCTTGTTTCTTTTCAAGACGAGTGAACGAAAAATGTCTTGCTAGTATAGAGTAGGCATGAGATATTTTAGATTACTTATTGTTGTTTGATCATGCATTTAAAGATTAGTTGACTTGAAGCCTATATAAACAATAATGTTATTACACTATATTCCTGTTACTTTCAGTTCACATGACACAGGTCCACAAATTAGCAGATTTACTCTTCAGAGTATGCTGCCGAGGAACACCAGAGATTCAGATATGTTTGACTATTTGAATAACACATGGACTTGAGTTCCTAACAATACATATTGTGGTAGTAAAGGTAAAGGGACCCCTGATCATTAGGTTCAGTCGTGGCCGACTCTGGGGTTGTGGCGCTCATCTCGCTTTATTGGCCGAGGGAGCCGGCGTACAGCTTCCGGGTCATGTGGCCAGCATGACTAAGCCGCTTCTGGCGAACCAGAGCAGGGCACGGAAACGCTGTTTACCTTCCTGCCGGAGTGGTACCTATTTATCTACTTGCACTTTGACGTGCTTTTGAACTGCTAGGTGGACAGGAGCTGGGACCAAGCAACTGGAGCTCACCCCGTCACGGGGATTAGAACTGCTGACCTTCTGATCGGCAAGTCCTAGGCTCTGTGGTTTAACCCACAACGCCACCCGTGTCCCATTGTGGTAGTACCTACAACCATTTTGTAAAAGGGAAAACTTGGTCCCATTGCTTCATCAGCTTTTAAAGTACAGTGGAACCTCGGGTTACGTACCTCCTTACGAATGCTTCGGGTAACAAGCTCTGCTAACCCGGGAGTAGATGCTCCTAGTTGCGAACTTTGCCCTGGGATGCAAGCAGAAGTCGTGTGCCGGCAGCAGCGGGAGGCCCCATTAGCGAAAGCACGCCTCAGGTTAAGAACGGACCTCTAGAATGAATTAAGTTTGTAACCGGAGGTACCGCTGTAAATGAAAGTACTAAACCAGGAATTCTGTGTTTGACTTTGTGCACTCTTTCATAAACATGGTTGCTGTAGTGCAATACAGGTGCTGATGAGTTAGCCTTTAAACCACCCAGAGCAAGACTTAATTTATAAAGCAAGCAAACCAGCTTCTACAACCTGAGCCTGTGTTCATCTCCAGAGGCCCTCTAGGTTCCCTACTATCTTGAGTTTAGGTGAGTTGTGACCTGCAACAGGGTCTTCTCAGCTGTGACGCCCTGTGGTTTCAATGCCTTCCCAGCGCAGGTGGCCTGGCAACAACTTTGATTTTTTTTTACTTTTGACAGCACAGTGTGTAGCTTGTTTTAACTGATATTTTTACTGTTCTATTCAATTTTACCGGCTGTGGCTTTCTTGTTTCCATTTTGTTAAAAACAGTAATGATGATACGCTTTCCTGGGAACCTTATGTTGAAGTGTAGTTACAGATGTTCTAAATAAATTTTAGTTAGCTGATAGTGAGAAAGAAACTTCAGAGTTTTAGAAGTGTACTGGCAATTGGGCAGTGAATTCTTTTTATAAAATTCAACCTATTTTTGGTTAGATCAATTTGTACTTGAAAATGGAAAAGAAGCCGAACAAGAAAGAAGAACTGACATTAGTGAACAATGTTTTGAAACTTGCTACAAAATTACTCAAGGTAAGAATAAACATGGAATATAAGCATACTTACGTAAAAATAAATGCTCCTTAATAAGATATGGCTATACTGTTGTCCATGATTAATTTGAGGCCTATTAGTAGTTCTCACTTTCCCTAAAAACAGATGTATCAGTAGTTTTTGAATTGTATACACCTATGTTTGCAGTGCACTGGTTGTTTACATTCTTAGCATATACAGTGGTGCCCCGCAAGACGAATGCCTCGCAAGACGGAAAACCCGCTAGACGAAAGGGTTTTCCGTTTTGGAGGTGCTTCGCAAAACAAATTTCCTATGGGCTTGCTTCGCAAGACGAAAATGTCTTGCGAGTTCCTGCAGGGTTTTTTTCCTCCCCCCCCCTTTTCCCAAGCCACTAAGCCGCTTATCAGCTGATCCGCTAAACCGCTAAGCCACTTGAACAGCTGATCCGCTAAGCCGCTTAACAGCTGATCACTAAGCCGCTTATCAGCTGATCCGCTAAGCCGCTTAACAGCTGATCCGCTAAGCCGCTTATCAGCTGATCCGCTAAGCCGCTAATAGCGCTAATCCGCTAATGGGCTTGCTTCGCAAGACGAAAAAAACGCAAGACGAAGAGACTCGCGGAACGGATTCTTTTCGTCTTGCGAGGCACCACTGTATGTGCATAGCCCCACGGTTCCAGACTTCAAGTGTCTCGGCAGTGTCTTATGAAAGTCATTGCAGCTATAGCATTTAGAGGTGTGTGTGTGGGGGGGATATGTTCAGGCAAGGACTCCTCCTCCTAAAGCATCTAAAGTAAGCCACTAATGTGGCATCTCCTCCAGCTAAGTGAAAATTCACAGGCCTCCACTTGTAAATTGCAATTAATCCAGAATGCGGCAGCTAGACTGGTGACTGGGAGCGGCCGCCGGGACCACATAACACCAGTCCTGAGAGATCTGCATTGGCTCCCAGTACGTTTCCGAGCACAATTCAAAGTGTTGATGCTGACCTTTAAAGCCTTAAACGGCCTCGGTCCAGTATACCTGAAGGAGCGTCTCCACCCCCATCATCCAGCCCGGACACTGAGATCCAGCGCCGAGAGCCTTCTGGCGGTTCCCTCCCTGCAAGAAGCCAAGTTACAGGGAATCAGACAGAGGGCCTTCTCGGTAGTGGCGCTCACCCTGTTAAACTCCCTCCCATCAGATGTCAAGGAAATAAGCAGCTATCTTATTTTTAAAAGACATCTGAAGGCAGCCCTGTTTAGGGAAGTTTTTAATATTTAATGCTGTATTGTTTTTAACACTCAATTGGGAGCCGCCCAGAGTGGCTGGGGAAACTCAGCCAGATGGGCGGGGTAATAATAAATAATAATAAAATAAAAATAAAAATAAAAATAAAAATAAAAATAAAAATAAAAATATAAACAAACAAACAAACAAATAAATAAATAAATAAAATATATTTCTCATTCCTAGGAACTGGACAGTCCCTTCAGGTTATATGGATTGACAATGAATCCTCTGCTTTATAACATCACTCAAGTTGTCATTCTGTCTGCTGTTTCTGGTGTTATCAGTGACTTGCTTGGATTTAATCTAAAGGTATTAAATGTTTTTCACTATTTCTGCCTTAATTAGTAATTTTGGCTGGTGTTTTTTTTAAAAAAGAAATCCATTGTTTAATGTAATTGATTCATTCCTATCAAAAGTACTGGTTTTCTCTTTGAGTCAGTTGTGTTATATAAAACAGGCAAACATTTTACACGTTTTGGGAACTTCTTAAATATTTGCATTCGTGTATTTGCCTGAAAACCAGAATAATTATCCTGGAATACTGTTATGACATCATGATTTGTGGTACTGCATTGGTTCACTGCCAAGTACACCACACAATGAATAATTTCATTGGCACTCAAGGCAATTAAAATGAAGCCACAACAGTGCAGGTGTTTTTAATAGTGGCTTAACTAAAATAGCAATCGCTAAAAAGAGCAAAATGTCATTGTTTCTGCTGGTTTGGTGGAATCAATTGCACTCAGCCTAATTTTCAAATTTTGGTTTTTTTTTTAATTAAAAATTATCTTCTTGGGCAACCTTCACAAAACCCTCTACAATGAGCATCATGTTATAATGACAGTTGCTTCAGTTTTTGTACAATGGCAACTTATTGTGACAGTTGAAAAGGGCATTCATGCTGCTTTTTAGGTCGCAATTGTCATGAAAGAAAGATACAACAGATGAAAGACCAGCTTAAGAAGTGTGGGAACCCCTGTTCTCCCTCCCCCCAGTTCTTGAGGAAGGAGACGGCGACTTGCTTTGGCTATGTGTGCTTCAAGAGCAGCAGTGGGCAAAAGAGCTGGTTTCTCCCTCCCATCAGCCCACTGCTCTCCTTTTCAACCTCTGCTTTGCCCCGCTTGCCTTGCTTCGGGGATGGTGAAAGGTTGATTCTGGTACATGAGAAAGCTGACAATCCCCCACATTAGCTGTGCTAAGATTGAGCTTTGAAGTCCTGGCTTTGGGACTTCAAAGCATGACATCATTTGTGTCAAATTTGACTTGCAATGCAGATAGTGGTAAGGATCTGATGCACAGAGCCTAAAAGGTTGCCTTACATAGAGAGCTACTACCAATCATAGTAGACAATAGTAGGATAGATGATCAATGCTCTGACTCAATATAAGATAGCTCTCTCTCTCTCTCTCTCTCTCTCTCTCTGTGTGTGTGTGTGCATGCGTGCGTGTGTGTCAGAGAGATACCGTATTTTTCGCTCTATAAGACGCACCAGACCACAAGACGCACATAGTTTTTGGAGGAGGAAAACAAGAAAAAAATATTCTGAATCCCAGAAGCCCGAACAGCAAGAGGGATCGCTGCGCAGTGAAAGCAGCAATCCCTCTTGCTGTTCTGGCTTCTGGGATAGCTGCGCAGCCTGCATTTGCTCCATAAGACGCACACACATTTCCCCTTACTTTTTAGGAGAGAAAAAGTGAGTCTTATAGAGCAAAAAATACAGTATACTGTATTTTGTGGTTGATTACCTTTTGACATTTTTTAGCCGTAGCTTTCTTCCACATGTTAGCAGATCGCTTAAATACTGAGAGCCAGTGTGGGTGTAGGTGTTTAGAGTATTGGACTAGGACTTGGAAGACCAGAGGTTGAATCCACACTCAGCCATTAAGTTCACTTGGTGACCTTGAACCAGTCACTGTCTCACAGCCTAACCTACCTCACAGGGTTGTTGTGAGATTCAAATGGGGGAGAGGTGAATCGTGCACACCCCCTTGTGTTCCTTGGAGGAAAAAGTAGTATATAAACACAATAAATAAATAAATAAATACACAATCTTATTGACAAGCTAAGCACAGCATAAAACCAAAACCTGCAGTTGATCTTATTTCTAAATATGTTTTCTGCTGCTTTCATCTTCAGCTCTGGAAGATCAAATCCTGACATTTTTCCCCAAAAAAGGAAAACGGACACAATCCTCTGGAGAAGAGAACTGATCGACTAAGCTGCCTCAGAGCAGTTGCTGATTCTTTATTTCAGAAGTTTCGATCTCTACTTGGATTATCATTTGCAAAGTTGAAGTGTTTACATCTGACTGTCTTGTGCAATCTTAATATTTATTTTACCTTTTCGTTTTTGTAAATTTTATTTTAGCTGACATTGTATTTCATTTTGAAACATTAATATGCTTTGGTTATTGAGAGGGTAAAAAATGGATATCCAGATACTTGAGATCCTGGCAATTGGTCACACTAAATTTCTCAAATATGCTTCATCTGTTGTGAAAGGTGAAGTCCTAATGCTAGGCTTTTATACTTCAGAATTTCTTGTTACATCAATGTCATGCTGAAGTCACTTTATTGAACATGTACTATAAAATGTTTTAAACATTTTATTTTGTACCTTCCTTTCAGGGGTAGTATCAGAGCACCAGCATATTGTTGGTTACAGTAGAAAGTGACATTTACTGTAATTACAATGCAGTAGGCCAGGTTAACTACATTTTTATATAGATATATATATAAATGCTAGAGCCAGCACGTTTCTTACTGAAGTGATTCCAGGATCCTAAATATATTGATCTGAAGTTTTAAGCATTGTTGAAGATTACTAAGGTATTACATAGCAGGTCAACAAGTGCTCTTTGATAACATTTTTATTGGAGCAATAACTGTAAACTGTTACTGTGCTGTAAGATATTTTGATAAAAATTAGCTATAGTATTTATTTGAGACACTGGGCTGTTTGCACAGTTCTGACTGTGCCGCTCAATATGTGCACTTTTATTGTTACTTAAATAGTGATCTTTATATATACTAAATAGAATATATTATGGTGGACTATGGTGCAATAGTGTTACATTTGCAAGATATTATGTAGGAATGCTCTCCCATAGTACACTGTAGTATATGTGACTTATACCACACAGGGAATATAAAAAATTGTAAGATAAGCAACTTTTGAAATCGTAATTTTCAGAACTCAGTCTTAATCCTGTTTAGAAGTGAGCACTGATTATTCAATTTAATCCTCTTGAATTGCAAAATTGGGCTATAATTTTATCCATATGTGCTTTGGAGTAAATCCCACTGAACTTAAACACTCTGGCTTAGCTTGCTGTTTACTCAGAAGTAAGTTGGAATGTTCATTGGGTTTACTTCCAGGTAAGTGTGCAGCCTGCAGTGGTTTCAGCGGGATGCTTTTAGGACTGATGCCAGATCATGACCATGTCGTATCTCTTTTTTATTAAATTTCCAAAAGACGTAGGCTGCAATTCTGTATATCCCCCCCCCCAGGAATAAGCCCCACTGACATCACTAGGGCTTCATATAGGACTGCACTTTACAGATAACATTAGCCGGTGTTCTCTTTAGCAGCAAGTAACTAATTTTAAATTAGGAAGTGGAAGTGCTCAGTTTGAACACTGATGACACCTGTAACCGAGCCACTGTGATCTAGCAAAGTGCTGCCTCAGATGCTGTGTGGCTACCTGAGACCTCTGGGATTGTCCCATTCTCTTCAGTGGAGTGGCCAACTTTACACGCACAAATATATATAGATTTACATCAAGCAGCCTCTCCCTTAAGTGGATGAATAATCCCCATGCTCAGTGTATGTATTGGAGCACACAGGTAAGGGCATCTGTAGAGCTATTGGTTCACTATGTTGACAGTCTCTCCATTTACCTTTCAATAAGGATTAGCTGAAAATTTTATAGAGCCGTCAATTTGAGCTACGAAGTGTGATTCAAAACATCATGTCAAAAGGGACAATGCTATCATGTTGAGCATACATATAATATTCTGAACTGGATATTGTGTACATTGTGCTTATTTTTTCAAAAAAATCTATTGGAATGTATAAACAATAGAAAATAATGTAGCTGATCTGAAGAAAATAATAATGAAACCTTCCAAAACTCCCAATTCCAGAATTACTGCAATATATACTTGTGTGGTATAAGGTATTTTTATATATAAAGCAACACAAACATTTTATATTTTATTTGTTTCTGTACTAATGTTTTAATAATGTTAATAATGACCAAAGTGCATTCTGTTATTGTTGGGTTTTTCACCCCCCAAGGAATGTATTACTGGAGCTTTAAGAACATGCTATGTCTAGTTCATAATGTACAAAACTTAGGTTCTGTGATCTATTGTTCTTCCTCTATGTTGTCTGATGTTGGGATTGTTGTTTAGGAATTGCCTGGTTTATATCCCCCCCGCCCCAAATACGGTACAGGCCTGCACAGAACTAAATTTTGCACAGAATACATTTTAATAAAAAAGGAACAGTTTGAGTTGTGTAGGGGTAAAGAATGACTCTGTTTCCACAGTCTGCCACTCTCCCCCCCCCTTCAATTAAAAAGTTGTTTTAAGAATTAAAATGTTTTTAGACACTTAAATGTTGACTATGATCTTGTTAAAGAGGAGCGGAAATTTGACTCGAAAGAAGTTTGATTGTAACCACACTATACCTCAGCAACTAGCAGTATGCTAGATTGTTGCACTAATTCGGACAGCATGAAAAAACCTAGAAATGAGGATTTGCAAATATGAAAAGTACCTCACAATCAAAACAGGTATGTTTTAAATGGTTGCCATTTTGTACATCAATCATGCAAGTGAAATGCTAAGTGTGTTTTACGTCCCTTATTTGGAAAAGTAGAGGTGAGCTAAAAAGTGGTAGATCTGGTGTGCAAACTGTTTCTGACACATGTTTGTAATAGACAGCATGATCAAGCTTGGAATAAAACATTCTGTGGCTGATGGTATTAAACCAAGCATTGGACTGCGTTTTTATTGTAACAAAATTAGCAGGGGCCTTACAGGAAGCATAAAGTAGTAAGATAAATACAATTTCAGTACAATTCAGTTGGAGGAGGAGAAGAACGAAGACATTAATTCAGCGCATCTTTTTTATTATGTAAAGCTTTGCTCATATTTCAATGCCTAGTTTGGGCAGGAAGAAGGCTTATTAATTGAGATAGTTTAATCTACCTTGAGGGTTCTAATTAGAAAAGTGAAGTATTAAATATTGAAAAAGTAAACACAATTAAAGTAATAAAGATAATAAACTAAAATAAAATACTAACCCTTAAAGTTGTAATCCTGTTTACATTTACCTGGGTTGAGCATTGTTGCATTTCTGGGTTAACACCTATATAACTGCAGGACGAGAAGTTAGTTTCTTATGCAGTGCAGGTGTAGCTTATCACAAGAAAGCGCAAGAATAGCGTAAGTTATAAAGTGGGTGTATATATCCTGGCATGTGAAGACCGGCATGTCGCCATCCCCATATCGGGTAATAGCGGCCGCCTGATCTATAAGTGGAAGGAACCGATACTGTCTTTAATGGCCCTGTTCCAACAGGAAATCAGATGAAAGTGCCGCTTGGCAGCTCGGTTGAAAAGTATGATGCAGGAGTTGGGACTGAATGCTTTCAAATGCTGCCACCTGTCATTGCAGAGCACAGGAGGCAGTGTGGAGGTGGAAAAGGTCTTTTCCCTCGGAACAATAGAAGGCCGGTCATTCATGAAACTGAGCAGACCTGCACCAACATTTCAGCCCCAGAAAATGGCCTATAATAATCATTTTGAGTGCAACTTTCACATTTTTGAATTGGAACACATAAGTACTGTTTTTTCTGCATATCTTTGCAACTTTACAGACTTGAGGCTATTTCATATATTGCACCTTCCTATGCTAAAATTATTTGGCACTTTATTATTTATTGCAGACATAACAACCAGACTCGTGGAAGCTGGATTGCCAAAGTAAAGATAAGGCATGAATAATCCAATGAATTGCATACATTCTGTTTAAAAGGGAGGAGGGGAGATGAGTGCTTCTTTGCTAGTTTTTGGGCAGAAACTTCACTGACTGCTATTTGGTGTGAGAACCTAATATTAGAGCAACAGGACTATGTTTTTCTGGTTGCTGGGGGAAGCTGGGATTCTTTGACTGCTTTTCACTGAGGAATGGTGAATGATCTTGCCAGCTACTACCAATCCTTGCCTACAGTTTGTATCCACAGCGGGAGAATGTTGGAAATCACTTCTGAGGCACCACAATTCATAAAGAAAACAACCAAAGCACTGTTTAATTTCAGTCTCAAATTCCTCTGAATGTGAGGTATTAACTAGGTGCAAAAAAGACCTTTAAATATTCCTAAAAGGATTTGCCCTCCCTTTAGACAAAATAAAAATGGTGCATTTATTTTCAATGTTTTAACAAACAATGGCCAAACTGTTCCCTTGTTGCATCTCATTTGACCTAATGTAAATATTTTTCTGTTTAGCATCTGCAGTCTCCTTTTATGCTTGTTCAGTCCTTAGAAGTCATTATTTACTAACAGCTCCCAAATGAGCTTAATCTATCTGTTAATGAAAGTTATTTATGAGGTTACTTTCATTCTAGCACAATCATAGTCCTAAACCCTAAGCCCCGAAGACATGATCATGAATTAAATGAATCTCTTTTTTGTTTTTCTGAAAGTGCAGCCAAATGGGATGGAAGTCCTATTAAAAGCCCAAATGGCTGCTTTTCTGTGTAAGCTCAAGCTGACGGCCACACAGAGCATTTATAGGATTCTCCTTTACCACTAAAAGTCACCATCAGCAATCAGTTCCTGATTAATCCATACTCTACTGCCAAGAGGCGTTTTTGAACACCACCAGTTTTTCTTCTTTGAAATGGGTATTTTGTGATGTCCCTCAATGTACAGCGCAGATATCATCTGTAAACCAAAACAAACTTCTTTGAAGGGGTACTTATAGCTGCTAGGGACAGAACTATGCACCTCTCTGCCACTCCTATAAGCTACAGTTCTTCGCAGAACAAAACCCAGGTTAAGTCTTGAGTTTAAATGAGGCTTCTAGTCCAATCAATTCATTCTGACTTGATACCCACTCCACGGTGTTCTTCGTCTTCGAAAGACTCTGCCACTATTCCATCTCACACTGTGTGATTACAAAATGGGGCCCGGTGCAAAGCTAGGCATTTAGGGTTTACAGAGGCTCTAATAGAGTTTTAGGCGGCAAATGGACTTCAAATGGACTTGCCAAATCCTTCTACCACACATTCAATTCACAAGGTTCAGGGAGGCATCATTGCATAGATGGGCAGCTTTTGGAATCAAATCAAATGCCCGACCTGGGAAACCAGCCAATCTGCAAGCTAACCTTGTGGAGGAAGGCGACACCTTTTACAATCCCCTTTTGCCACAGCCCTGGTATGGTCTTATCTTACAAGTTGCCAACTTACATTTATTTTTATTTCTTTGCTGTCTCCATTCATTTCAATACCTTCATCAACCCTTTTACCTGTCTAGGGTTGCCATATGTCTGGAATTTCCAAGACATATCCAGAATACTGCAGTCAGCAGCATCGTCTGGGTGGAAATTGGGCAAATGTCTTGTAAAATCCAGACATATTTCAGCCCATGTTGGAACTGCTGTTTCTGCCAATTTCCCAAAAAATAGCTCAAAAACGACAATTTGTTTTCGATTTTGCAACAACTTTGGGTGAAACAAAAGAAAAAGAAAAATGGCAAGAAAGCTCAACAACACTGTTTGAAATATGGCAACCCTACCTGTCACACACATGGTAGCTGGATCTAGGCAGGGGACAAAGCAGATCATAGATTATTCATTGGAAGTAAAATGCTTTAAAGCTTGTTATGTTTACTTGAAGGTAAGCAGTAAAATAAAAGTCCTTCCCTGTGATCAGGGTTCACATTTCCTTTTAGGTACCTTTCAGCCTTTCTGGGATCTTCACCATTTGGTCCAGAATGAGTTTTCTCATCTCTACTGCAACCTGCTCTGCTATCTCTTTGGCCTCAGCTCTCCTAAAGGCTCCTTCTGGAATCCGGCACTCCTCTTCTTCAGACCGTCTTAGCTCTTTGCTTCAACTGATTTTAACAGCTGGGTTGGCTCCTCACTCTTCAGCTGCCGAATCTATTCACTACCCACCCTGACCTTCAGCCAGGGCCCTCTCAACAATGAACTTGTTTCTGATGAAATTCCAAACTCTCATTGGGCTATAGCAATGCTTGTTTCCATACTGATACAGTGGTTGTTTTATGACTTCAGCCATGCCTGGATGGGACTGAATTTCTACAGGGACTTCGGCTGGGTTTTGGCACTGCTTAGGTTTGCCCTTATGTCAGGAGGAGGATGAGAATTATGAGCCTGTTTGACACCTTGGCCTCCTTTTGCTGAGGGGTCCCACTGGGCTCTATCTTGTGTCACATCTTCTTTAACAGCATAACACTGCTGCATGAGCTCATCTGGAAGTTTGGGGTGAAATGTTCTCAACAGGCAGATGACAATGTTCTTTCCTTGAAATTCAGATGAATTAAATGTCCACTCAGTGCCTAGCTGCAGTGGCAGAGGCCTAGTAAACTGATACTCAGTTAAGACAAGAGGGAGCTATTGTAGCTATTGTTAATCTGCCCAAGGGAGTGGTCTTCACCATGTACAAGACAGTGCCCCCCAAGGAACATGCTCACCCTTTAAGAGTCTTTAGTGATTCACCTTTCTCATTAGAAAGTTGTGTCTATGAGTGGAGTGACTTTTGCAAGCTTCATCTGGTACATGAACTCTGACCCTACCTAGACAGAGATAGCCTGGCCACAGTTATTCATGCTCTGGTTAACCTTCAGCTTAAGACTATTGTAGTGCAATATATATGGGGCTATCTTTGAAGGCTGCTCATCCAGAATGTGATTGCTAGCCTGGGCATTTTGGTAATATTCGGTCTGTGTTAGAACCAGCACTCAGTCAATTTCTAGGCCCAATTCAAAGTGCTGGTCTTGAGCTTTGTAACTCTTTACAGCTTAGCATGAGAATAGTTTAAGGGCCATCAGTTTCTGTATGTATCTACCTGTGCATTAAAAGCTTCAATGAATGGTCTCCTGCAGGCGTCTCTCCCATCTGAGGTGAGCTGGCTGGTTATCAGAGAGAGGATTTTCATGGTGGTGCTTCCTCAGCTGTGGAATGCTTTACCCAGAGAGAGTCACATGGCATCTATCTTGTTATCCTTTGGATGCCAGGTGAAAGCCTTTTCATGTTCCCAAGCTTTTTAAATGGAACGTCCTGCTGTCTGCTCTATGCTGCTTTGTGTGTTTGTGTGCAGCTTTACTCTTCCTAACCAATTTATTCTCATTATTTTCCACCATGGGAATATAATTTAAGGAGGGTATAAAAATACCCTCTTCCATATGATAGAAGACAGATATATATCCTCCAGTTCATCTAGCAACTGGATGAAATTCCAGCTAGGGGAAGCATGTTGGTTGAAAATCAACAGAGATATAATGTTCTACAGCAAAGGCAATGCTTTTAGCCTAAGCCCAGCAGCTATTCATTGGCTTGGCCCTGCTCAGCAGATTCACGCCAGCATGTCTAATCTGCAAAGCCCACCGCTGTAAGAGTTGACCCTCTGGTGAACTTTCCATTTGAAGATTAATCCTACATCTGAGGGGGTCATCTTAGGGAAAGTGGAAAGGGAGTGCTCTTCAGGCACAGAAGATTTAAATATGGGATTTAGAAGGTTGGAAAGCAAAGAGATTTTATTTCCTGAGTTTTATAGCAATGTCAGCTGGTTGCCTATATTGTTATAAAAGGGATGAGGAAACATACCGTCCCAGAGGGTATGGATACAGCTTCCATAATCCATGACCTCTGGCTGGACTTGTCGAGGCTGATGGGAGCTGTAGTCCTGCAGGAAGGCCACAAGTTTCACAAGGTGCTTTTCATATTTCTGTTAATTCTGATT